TGTACACATATACTGACACATAATGATTAACATGAGTCAGAAATAAATATGTAACATCAATGCTTCATATAGTAGCATATATATATATATATATGTATATGCTAGGCGTATAATGTTACGCTATGCGATGTGCAATAGCCTTTGCATTGCACGTATTAGTGGTAGCCATAATGTAAGCGGCGCCTCGCCTGGCCTGATTGTGACGTTGCGTGACGTCATTATAGACCTGGAGGTGTGACCCAAAGGATGCACCCACGTAAACATGCGTCTGCTTGACAAAATCGCGTCTGCTTGAAAAAAGGATTATACACAGATATGTATAGTTAATAAAGGGTTAATGCGGCTTGTATCAAACTTTCGATTTATCAAAGGAGAACCGCAAAGCTCCATCTGGTGAGATTTCATTCCGATTTTCTTCATGTACATTAGATACAATAATGTAACCCAAACCCAAGAGGATTACACTATCCTCTTGGGTTTGGGTTACATTATTGTATCTACATGTACATGTACAACATTTGATTTGAGGTCTTCGCCTCTATAACATGCATTGACATTGTATTTGTTGCTTGCTTAATCATTACTTGCTTTTGTTTTATACTTATTTCTAAGTTATTAATATTTATAGATTTTCATGTCTCTACTCCCAAATTATGCGGTAATGAGGCCCAGGGTTTCAAACTAGGATTCACCCCAGCATAGCTGTGCTACACCCTTCAGGCTGGGGGCCGCAAACTCTAATCTCTTTACAGTTTACAAAAACGACGTTACTTTTTTAGGCTCCAATGATCATCTTTAACGTACAGGATATATCAAGCAGCAGCACGACCCACTAGTGACCAGCAGCAGCACACCCCACCGATTGAGCAGCAGATCAACGTCCCACTGAGTGACCAGTACAGTAGCAGCTAGCACTCTTAACCGAGTGACCAGCAACAGAACTGTACCCCGGACTATAGTTCCCAGCAGCAGCAGTGTACGCCCCACTAATTACCAGCAGCAGAAGCAGCAGCAGCAGCAGCAGCAGTAGCAGCAGTAACAGCAGCAGCAGCAGTAGTAGCAGCAGTAGCAGCAGCAGTAACAGCAGTAACAGCAGCAGCAACAGTGGGTCCCACCAAGTTCCCAGTGGCGGCGACGTTGCGGTGACCATGGCGAAGTCGGCGGACGTCGTCGTCGTCGCCGCGGCCGGCGGCGAACACCGCTGCCTGTTCTGCGGCCGCTGCCACCGCTTCGCGTCGGACCTTCGCCGTCACGCGCGCACGCACACGGGGGAGCGCCCCCACGCATGCGCCGCGTGCGGGAAGGCCTTCCGCGAGACGAATCAGCTGACGCGTCACGCGCGCACGCACGACGACGCGCGCCCGCACGCGTGCGACGCCTGCGGCGCACGCTTCCGCGAGTCGCAGTCGCTGAGGCGCCACCTGCTGGGGCACGCGGGCGCGCGCCCGCACGAGTGCGCGGCGTGCGGCGCGCGGTTTCGCCAGAGGGCGCACCTGAAGGATCACGACGCGAGGACGCACGCGGGAGGCGGCCGCGCGCACGCCTGCCACCTATGCGCCGCTGCGTTCGCCTCCCCGCAGAAGCTGAGGGCGCATCTCCGGCGGAGGCACGGCGACGGTTGCCACGGCAACGCGGACACCGAGCGACGCGCCGGCGCCACCTGCCGGCTCGGACCAGCAGACGCCGCGGACGGTGAGCTCTGCCAGGGGGCGTGTCGCTGCGACGTCTGCGGAGCGACGTACGGAAACCTGACGCAGTTGGAGACGCACATGCAGTGTCACGTGGCGCCCCCGCCGCCAACACCGGCGCCCCCGCATTACCTCGCACTCGACCCCCGGATGACCCTAATCAGTTACAATGCACAGGTCAATTCGGCGTTCGCTCACTTCAAGTTTACTTGATCGCTTTCGGAGCGTCGGAAGCGGACGTGAAATATCGCAAGGCCCTCGGTGTTATTTTACACGATGTTGGTAATTGGTTGGTTGGCGATCGCTTGTTGGATGCTTTTTTTTATTACATTATACAATGGTTTATTCTCTCTTTATTATTATCTCATTTTGTTTATTATTTTAGTTATTCTCTTTGGATCGATGATTGTTATTGTTTGCTTTCCATCTGTTCAATCTTGAAATCAGCCTACTTTTGGGTGTCGCATTTGTGTATAATATAAGAGCTACTTAATAATCTTTCTTTACTCTTTTCATATTTCATCTCTTTCTTACTATCCGCTCTCCCTTTTCCCCTCTCCCCTCTCTCGCTGTCTCTGTTCGTCTCTCTTTGTATGTGTCTCTCTTTCCCTACCTTTCTCTCTGACTCTCCTGCTTTCAGCATCTTAATCTTAGTATTATCACTCATATTATTTGACTTCAAACATAAATTGGCACTAAACACAGCCGATTCGCATAGTGGCATACATGCATGGACACACGCATACGTGTACTCACGCATATACGTCTACATATGTATGCTACATGCACGAGTATGTGTGCGTGATCGTACGTGCGTGCGCGTGCGTGTGCGTATTCTACTTACATGTACACTCGGTTCGGTACAGCATCATATGTAGCTGGCATCGGTATATCGGTTAGTGGAGTCTGGCATCGTTTCAACTACTGTAGATCAGCTGCTGAGCTCTTCATAGACAGCCACACCTTCTTCGCAATATAACAGCCGTAACACACTAAAGGACTTGCAGAGTCCATCTATCACAGTGTTTATCATCTGAAGATTGCGCTGACGTGTGAAATGCGTCGCTGTCATATCGGACCTTTGTCCTAACCCGAGAGATCGAACAAGATATCGATGACAGGGGGCAGAGATTGAAGTGCAAGTGTCAAGTACACGTCATTCTCTCCAGTCCGTCACACACGTCTGTCTGTCCGCTTACTACGCTGACTGAACCATCGCTACACGTGGCTGGTTAGAAGTTGAGGTTTCAAAGTTTCCATAATGAGGTGGCTAGTGTTCACTTACCTCGTGGGACTATCCTATGGTGAGTATATATGTATATATATATATTATATATATATATATAGAGAGAGAGATCGATAGATAGATAGAGAGAGAGGGGGAGAGAGAGAGAGACACAGATAGAGAGGGGGGAGAGAGAGCGAGAGAGAGAAAGATCGAGTGAGAGCGAGAGAAGATATAGAGAGAGAGCGAGAGAGAGAGAGAAAGAGAGAGCGAGCGAGAAAGAGAGAGAGCGAGAGAAGAAAGAGAAAGAGACAGATGTAGAGTAGATGTAGTTGCCGTTATGTATCTATATCCGTAGTGTGCTATACAGAAATATTGCTCTTGATCTGTGTCATATAGTTTGATCTATGCCATAGAGCATTTAGTTAGAGCGTCACGACTCACATGACTGGGAAGGCGGTTCGGCTATATGCATGGGCATATTATATATATATTATATATATATACGTGATACTATACCCAGCTGAGCCCAGTACGGTGATGGGTACAGTTAGCTCTAGTACCATAGCCCGCGTACAGTTGCCGCAGGCCTGCGACAACTGTACGCCGTCTGTAGTACTAGAGCTAGGGTACAGTATACTAGGGTACAGTATAGCCACAAGTTCCCATCTCGCTTAATTAACACTACGTGTAACAGTCGGAGAGCCTGCATGGTCGGTTTAGGGTACAGTACAGCTCTAACGCGCAGTTCAATCAAACTTTTTGGCCCCTATACATAAATCGTCATCATCTTTACCCGATCCCAATATTTCTAAACTCCTATATGCGTTTTCTCTGTGTTTTAGTGTTTCCGCTGAAAGGGTTAAAGCTGCAGCACACACCGGGGAAGGCGTACACTTACGACTACGAGTCTCTCTCCACTCTCCGTGAGCGGAGGGAGGCAGGACCACCCTCCCCCGGTCAGGCCGGTGTGGGGCCGAAGGTGTCCGCAGAGGTCCTACTGACCGTCGTGTGGGGACAGGAGACAGAACAACTGGTCAAACTCGAGGTAACTGTCTCTCTGGTGGTGCACTGACTACATAATAATTTTCCCGTATATGCTGTTGCTACATGAATATATATATATATATACACATATATATATATACGTGTATCCATATACATATCCATTTTCTACATTTGTACATGTACATTGGTTTATACTAGTGGAATGTAATATACTACACCTACATGCATGTAACCATGCAGTGTTTAGGGCTTTCTTATTATATGTATATTATAAATTGTTATATAATTGAAGATATGTAACATGTACATTGCTGTTACATGTACAATATACCTTATTGTAACTAAAGATACACAATATGTACATTGCTATTACATGTACATTATCTTATTGACATTTATACCTTGTAATTGAAGATACATAACATCAGGAGTTAATGAGACAAACCTGGTCCAACTCCTGATAACATACATGTATGTACATTGCTGTTACATGAACATTATCATCTGGACATTTCTACTTTGTAATTGAAGATATATAACATACATGTACATTGCTATTACATGACATTATCATCTGGACATTTCTACTTTATTGTAATTGAAGATACCTAACAGGAAACGTTACTGTTACACATGTACGTACATTACATTCACAACCGCGCGTCGGCATCTCACACGCGTAAATCTTGCGCGGTCGAATGCGAGGTCGCTCGTTGACCTTTGCCCTCTGACCTTTCGCAGCTGCGGAAGCTGAAGCTGCAGGGAGCGACGACGGAGACCAGCGAGAAGGCGAGGCTGTTCGACGGCGTGTCCGCCTCTGTGTCCGCCCACCACGCTCGCCCCGTCTACTTTGTGTGGCGGAGCGGCCAGGTTATGCAGGTAGTCACCTCTCACGGGCGCGCGTGCGCGCATAGTCGATCGTATAGTCACACCTGTATACAGAGGTCGTTCGGAGTAAAAGACGGAAATTTGTCTGAATGTACGAGTGGTTGTTCTATGGAGGTGGTTTCACTTTGTGACTGCCTCTGAAGGAAAATGTCGATCGTGGCCTTTATGTACGGGCGGCTGTTCTATAGAGGTAGTTGCTATAACCAGGTTTTAACTGCATCTCTTTTGCCAGTTAACAGATAACTTTGACAGTTCTCGATCACGCACGTCTCTCATTGACAATTCCGACGTCTAGGCTGACGATTCAAACGTTCCGATGTCTTTGAGTAATCTACATACAGTCACGACTCAATCGTGAATATTCCACGCTCAGAATGCTGTCAAATCGCGCGGGGAAAGTCGCTTCGCCCTCGAATAGGGATCCGTGTAACGCGCCTTGTTGCATTTTCCCCGTTGCAGCTGTATTCGTCCGGCCATGACGGAGTCGTCGCCGAAAACTTAAAAAGAGCTGTCGTCAGTCTACTGCAACTACAGACCCAGTCCGGAGACAGAGAAGAGGTAGGTAGGGGTGGTAGCTAGTATAGGAGAGGTAGCGAGAGGGAGAGAGAGGTAGAGAGGTAGAGAAAGAGAGAGAGAGGGAGAGAGAG